ACACAGGCTGGCCCTCAAATTCCACATCCTGGGGGACCCCATGCCACCAACTCAGCATTGCAGCACCCTGCCTTGTACTTGAACTTCCAGCTTTAGCTGTCTTCCACTGCCTCATTCAGTTCCCCTGCTTGGACTCAAGCTCTGTGAGTCGCCAACCTACACTGCTTGGACCCCTTTTCTCTAAGTGTCCCTGGCAGTGTAATCGAAAGGGTCCACATACCTGACTCCAGTTCATACACGGGAGCCCCGATCCATGACACAGTGCATATATGCTAGTAAGGAGCATGCTGATGGTAGGAGAGAGCAGATCACCAGCATACTGCATCTCCTTTCACTGTCCAGTCACAGGCTTGGTGTGGCGAGGGAGAAAAAAATCAGGTCTCCTGTCTTGGACAGGGTTGTGTTCTGGAACAAGTACAGGTGAAGCGCTGGATATATATATATCAGAAGATCGCTCGAAACGTAATAAAGCACAATGGCTCCAGTGAGGCCGCTCTCTACAAAAGTGGGATGTGCCACAGAAAAGGGAAACCAGGATTGAAGATACACTATTACCTTGGTTCTCAACTGGCGGGTTGTGACCCAAAAGTGGGTCGCGGCCCCGTGTTCAGTGGGTTGCCACATGCCTTCCACTTTTCTAGGTGAGGGGCTCCACAGCCACCTTCTAGTGCAGCACTGTCAGTTCTCACGCTGAGCAGCCATTCAAAATATGCCGGAGTGTCAGCTTCAGGTGGGATGGGATGGGGCCATGTCCCACGAGGGAGCTCCATCCATACGAGCATTGCTTACAGCTCCCTCGCATGTCCTGTAGGGGTTCCTGGACCTGAGTGATGTCACATTCTGGCTCCCGGCACCTCTACAGCGCACACGAGGGACCTGTCCAAGCAATGCACATATGGATGGAGTTCCATCACAGCACAGCAGCCCACACTGGACCGCAGGCTGAGGATCCACTCCAGTTCTTGCAAGGTAGGGAGACTGGGTGGACAGACCATGTGTCCTGGTGTGGGAGGTGTGTTGCGTTGCCATTCATTTGAATGGCAGCCCAAACACACCTCCCACCTACAGTTCTATTGCCTGCACCCGAATGCACGGTACCGCAATGCTGTGCATTCCATCGCAGGGCGACTTGTGTCATGACTCAATGACCAAGGACAAATGTGGGTCCTGAGGTTATACAGGATGAGAACCACTGCACTAATATACACTGAGTGGCCAGATTATTGGCCAGATTATTATGACCCCCCCATCAGTACTTGGTTGGGCCGCCTGGTGACTCCACGAGATGATGAAAGGTGATGCGAGGAATCTGACACGGCACTGTTGCCCTTCTGTTGTCTTGTACCAGTCTTGCCCCTCCCCCGTTCTGCCCTAACATTGACTAGTCGCTGACGGCCACAATTCGCACGTTCAGACCCAGATTTTCGGCTGACAGTCCGGTCTTTAAACACTTTAACAATGAGCCGCTCCTGAACATGTAACGAATTCTGCTGTTTTGCTGATACTCGCTCCATGGCTCCGAGCGCCAACAATCATCCCGCGTTCAAAGGCTGTTACATCGCGTTGTTTCCCCGTATCTTCATAAACAAATCACTTCTACTGTTGTGGTAACCAACCTGCTTCCCTATTTATAATGGTCTGGCCCTCTAGCATCTACAGCGCCAAATTATAGCTAATTTACCTGCAAACGTCATAATAATCCAGCCACTCAGTGTATACAGTCCAATGCGTTTTGGGGGTTGAAGGACCTCCCTCTTCTTCAGGGGTTAAACATGATGGGTAGTAATACATGACTCAAATCACCGGGGATCAATTCCTTGCTGTGTAGGGTCTAGCCAGCATCGGTGAATCAGCAAAGCAGGGGTTGCGCTGTGCCGTGTGGCAGAGCTGAGTAAATCTCAAGACCGGATGGAACAGGAATACAAACCTTTTTATCACATCTGTCTGTCCTCCGTGTATTTAGCTGTTGGGAGTTTAGCTTCAGTGTTCAAACTTCCTGGTTCTGCCGATGAAAAACGTTACCGGTCTATTTTTGTCGCAAACGTGTGAATTGAATAATTTCTCACAAATGTTTTATGGGGGAAAATAAAGAAATAAAGAATCTTCTGAAGTCATTACCGAACGTTGAAAAGGCCAATTATAAACGTACGTGCTAAGCGCTAACTGACACATCCGCCGGCATTAACCGCGCCGTTCATCGAGTCTCCCTGTTAAACGGCAAAAGACCGCCATGTACAAAGGCTGGGAGGGGGAGGGGCGGATTTTAATTAAAATTGGCTGAAAGGTGATTAACAAAGTTCTTTTTATAACCAATCGAGGCAATTAAAAAAAAAGGAAAATGGCCGTCGCTGTCTGGGGGGGATTCGTCCGGGGGATGGATGGAGGGAAGAACTCATTATGGATTGGTGAGTGAAATCTCCGCCATTGATGTATCGCCTCCTCTGCCCTTACTCAGCATCGCGTTAGCGGTAATGACGGCAGGTGCAACTAATTAGACCGTCAGCTTCGCGTAATTAAGAGCGGCTAAGTGCCGAAGACATCTGCCTCCAGCTCGCCTTTGACTCAATGCTGCCAGTCGCAGATCTGAATCTGAGCCCGGGCCTCGGGGGACGTTTCTTTTATATATTTATTTTTTTCTTATTAAAGCAAAACTCTCAGCAAATCGTGTCCTCGTACCGCAGCCGTGTGTATCCAGTCACTGCTCCCCTCTCCCCTTGTGCAGGGTGACTGGTCTTGTCTCCGCACCTTTCTCTAATAAGGACCGGTCACTGCTGCTCTCTCTCCTTGTGCAGGGTGACTGGTCTTATCTCCGCCCCCTCCTGAAATAAAGACAGCTCACTGCTTCTCTCTGTCCTTCTGTAGGGTGACTGGTCTTGTCTCCGCCCCTTCCTGTAATCAAGACCAGTCAGTGCTGCTCTCTCTCCTTCTGCAGGGTGACTGGTCTTGTCTCCGTCCCCTCCTGAAATAAAGACAGCTCACTGCTTCTCTCTGTCCTTCTGTAGGGTGACTGGTCTTGTCTCCGCCCCTTCCTGTAATAAAGACCAGTCAGTGTTGCTCTCTCTCCTTGTGCAGGGTGGCTGGTCTTGTTTCCATCCCCTCCTATAATAAAGACCGGTCACTGCTGCTCTTTGTGCAGGGTGACTGGTCTTGCCTCCGCCCCCTCCTGTAATAAAGACCGCTCACTGCTGCTCTCTTCTTGTGCAGGGTGACTGGTCTTGTCTCCGCCCCTTCCTGTAATAAAGACCGCTCACTGCTGCTCTCTCTCCTTGTGCAGGGTGGCTGGTCTTGTTTCCATCCCCTCCTATAATAAAGACCGGTCACTGCTGCTCTTTGTGCAGGGTGACTGGTCTTGCCTCCGCCCCCCTCCTGTAATAAAGACCGTTCACTACTGCTTTCTCCTTGTACAGGGTGAGTGGTCTTGTCTCCGCCCCTTCTGGATTTTTTTGTAGTGGGTGTGGCCTACTGGGTCCCTCCCACAGCTCTGCTCTCTGAACAGGCACTGTGATGCTGTCGCTGCTACTTCCACAAGGTGATATCTGGGTTTATAAAGACGTTTGGTGCACACAAAGTGGATTTTTTGTGGCTCTTGGGGAATATATTCACTTGTAAGTTTTCGTGTCCAGAGTTCAGCTTTAAAGTAGATGGAATTCCAACCACCGAGGGCCCATTTACATTTGTTACCTTTTGTCTGCTGAATGCCCCAACACACACACATCGCCTTGTATAAAAGCAACTTTATTCAGCTCCATATGTGCCGCACAATCCCACCTCTAATCTGCCTCTAACCCGTTTCACCCATACGGACTTGGTGATAGAGATACCAATACGACTAAGCCTCTAAGGATGAAACGCTTTAGCGGCAGACCGGAGGCAGGTCCGTGTGACACTTTGGAACTGAATAAAGTTGGTTCTATACAAGGAGATGTCATCGGTGTAAGACCATCTTTTATTCTAGGACTGTGGAAATACATAGATGCCAACTGTCCTCGATTTGCCAGGACAGTCCCACATTTTGTTCCTCATTCCTGACGATGCGGTGTCCTGGGCCATGTCCTTGATTGGAGTTACTGCACATGCACAGTGACTCAAAAAGACATTGATTGCCAGGATCAAGGCAGCGAGTGGTTGTTTCCTGCATATTTAGAGGCGAGACGGGGAGAGACCAACCAATAAAGTGGGTGTGATGTGGGCACACCCATCCAGAAAGTGGGTGGGAACAATGCTGACTGTGGGTGGGGTTAACAAGGGCTGGCATAAATGTGTATGATGTATATATAATATTTATAAGGTTTGTATCTCTTTAAATGTGGGCACACATCTGACATTGGTTATGGGCCTGAACTACAAGAGGTGAATGTCTGTCGTAGGGTTGCCACCTGTCCAGGATTCACCCGGATAATCCAGGTTTTGAATGCTGTGTCCGGGTTTCATGGCAGCAGAAACCCGGACATGAGATGTCAGGCAGACAGGGGCAACCAAAATTAAGATAGGAGCTACTGGCCCCCCACTGAAAATAGTCTCAACTGTGATATTTACATATGAATAAGCCGCGACTTATTCTCCCAAATAAATGTCCGCGCGTTGCTAGAGTGTTCGGGTTTTACTTGAAGAAAAGGTGGTAACCCTAGTCTGTCGATTACTCATGTTCATCTCTAGTATATCTGTACCTCCTGCCAATTTAACAACCTCAAGATTATAGGACACCTAAAGGGATGGGTGGGATGGGAAGTTATTCATGCGCTGTGTAGGAGAAGAAAAGGCAGGCTGTCAACTGCTGCTTTTGCATGTATTAAGTTTTTGGGCTAATGAATGCATGAAAAAAAAGAGTTTGATTGACAGGAGGGCATGGGCTTCAGTTATAAGAAAAGTGTGAAATATCACAATGACTGCTAACTCTTTTATTTCTTTTTTTTTTTTGGGTTGCCTGGCTGTCAGGCCGCTCGTATGGATCTGTCTTTTTCCTAAAAAGCCCTTTTTCCTGTTTTTTTTTGCCGTTGCAGTGATTGGACTTGGAACGGACCCAGATCTGCAAATTGACATCATTTCAGAACTGCTACTCGACAACAGCACGCGCGGCGTCACGCAAGTGTTTGGCACTCACAATGGCAGCAAAGCCTTCTTATTTCACGGTAAGTGCCTGTTATTGTAAAGGAACATTTCAGACGCAAAGCCGCCTTCAGTTTGTTGTACAAGCATGAATGAGGCTGTTTATATCAATAGAAGCTGCGAATCGCTGACAGTTCACTGAGGCTGCCGTCGGTTGTTGTAGCTTTGGATGTCCAATTCACCCAGCGAGTGAGTTATCCAATAGAGAGATACCACACATATAATCCTGTCCCCCCTCCCCCATAGGGAGCTTGTCATTCCTCGGTAGAGTTATATGTTTGTTCTGTATCATGGAGGATCCATTTGGGAAGGTGGCACCTTCTTTGTTCCCAGTTGCTTCCACTTTCTTATAATACCGCTAACAGGTGACCACGGAATATTTAGTAGCAAGGAAATTTCACGGAACACCTGAATCCAATGGTTTGGAGGGGCGTCCCAATACGTTTGGCAATATAATGTAGCTAATGGGTGCAGCAGCTGAACCGAACTGGCGAGGAGTGTAACTACATCGCAATGTTGTGTTGGGGGTCCCCAATTTCTGCCTACTGTAGTTGGTCCTTTTCGACTCCCCTCCTCCCCATTCAATGCATAGGGAGGTAGGAGGGCTTCTTCTATCCTTTCAACTTCGCCTTCTTTAGAATCACCTGAATAGTCTCAGTGTTGTAATGAGAGAAGCTGCCGCAGCACTGGGGTACCTGTAGGTTTGGCTGAGCTTTGGAGAACATCTACTTGGATGCTTGAAATTTCATTTTGCATCTCGCTGCAGATCCCTGGGGAAAGCATCAAACATGAAAGGCCTTTGGGTTGCCGTTTGAAGGATGTAAGGACATTTAAATTTTTTAAATTAGGATATCACATCAGCTGCAGATTGAAATGAGAATTATAATTGGCATTAGGTGGCATAACAAGAGCCGTAGCAGCCAAAATGGCTGCTATTGTGCCTGGTGGTCGAAGGGGTACCCCAAAGTGGTGACGTGTTTGGCCTTTTATCAAATATAACTAAACTGTGCAGACATTTCTGAACTAGTGCTCTCTTCCTTATTCCTCTACCTGGTGCTGTCAGTGTGTCTCCTCTGGGGTGATTCACCCCTCTTTTTGTCTTGGTCACCTTTGCCACTTGGACTGAAAATTAGGGAAATGCTAAATTTACAGTAGTCACAAGAAAAGAGAATAGAGGGAAAAGCTTTTAATGGGGACACCTGATCCGGTGACAACTATCTGAAGTGGTGATTTCCTCTTGCTTTGGAAAGATTTCCTCCTCACTTCGTGTTGTATTT